GGCTTAACCGTTCTCTGAAGAGTACCTGAATCTCTCTTTTTTTTAAGTCTACAGATAGTTTTTCATCAACTGTTTTTGGCTTATACTATTTAATTTCAATTTTATAACTCAAATGAAAAATGAACTCCAAGCATTTTATCCAGCAATCCAAAGCTGAAAATCCGAGCCCCAAGGCCGAGTCATTCTCAGTTTTTGCTTTTAATAAATCAATATTGTTCATTTCCTTGGGTTTAGTATTGCACATATTGCAGGATTGAGAGGATTTTGTCTCTGTAAGTGCGCTAACTACTTTATTATCAAACATTGTAAGATCAATCCTATAGCTGATATTAAATGCCAAAAATCTTCCTGCAATATTAAAAACTTTGTAAAACGTCTTTAAGGTATTTATTTGATTTTTTAGGTCTGATTCTTCTTCTCTGGATAAAATTGGACTCTCTTTTTTATATTTTAGATGAAGAGGTCTACAAAAGTGACAGCTTGAAGGATTTTCAATTTTTCAAATTTCGCCAACTTCTACTTTGAGCAATAAAGGCACAAAAGCTGTACTAAAAAGATTTTCTTCATGCTTAAGTTCTATACTTGATGCTCCATCAAAACCAATCTTTCCATATAAAACTCAAAATATTTGATCACTTTGACCAAAGTTAGGCATATCAATCATTTCTGTTATTCTACTCACAGTGTGATCTAACATGCTTTGAAGAGTACACTTTGCAGAAATTTCAGAAAAATGTATGTTCTCAGGATAGCATTTCAATTTTTCCACGAAAATATCGTGCAAGGTAGGATAAATGCGTACATGTACAAGAGCTGATTTTCTGATCATTTGATATTGTTTATCATTGAGATCAGTATTCATTTTTAATGCAAGAGCATCCTCTACACTCGTGTTAATGGGAAAGGCTTTATCCAAAGTTTTATCAACTTTTTTTATCTCTAAAATATTAGATATATTGTTTTTTAAAACAGAGGCTTTTTTTTTTCTCCAACAGCATTTGCACTTTTTGCAGAAGCTAAAAATAGAGCTTCATGATGTTCAGTGGCTAGTTCTTTTATTTTTTTTCTTTAGCTTCTCTCTCCAAGAACACTCCATTGTTTATGGGGCCTTTCAGAACCAAAACGGCTATTTTTATTGTTCATAAGGTTTCTTTGAAGCAAACGATTTTCTTTTTTGTATAAATGTATAGTTTCGTCCACATTGTTTTAGTTTTTTCTTCACCTTTGAAATAAATATAACTAAAGCAAGCTTAACTTTATTTAAGTTTTCTTTACGAATTTTTTCAGTATTTTTTATTTCATTAAGTAAATCCTTCCATAATATTAATTTATCAACTCCTATTTCACGTATATTTGGGATAAGATCTAATCTTTTCATTGTTATCGTTTTTAAGAACCATCAATATAATAAAACTAATATATATTTGACACATTTTAAATTACATTACATATTTTTTTACTTTACACTGTTTCAAATTTTATCTTGTTATAACTTTTAACAATTTTCACATTGTTACATCCTGTAATAACACATATTACTTAGTTAACTTTATATTACATGTAATATAAAGTTAACTAAGTAATGTAATATAAAGTTAACTAAGTAATTTACATGTAATATAAAGTTAAATTTATATTACATGTAATATAAAGTTAACTTAGTAATATGTGTTATTACAGGATGAAACAATTTGGTACTTCTTGAAACGGGAAATACCAAAGTTGTTCAATTAAGCTTTTTCAAACATGTTGTAGTTATCGAATAATAAATCGTTCTTTAAAATTGTCAATAAATATTTTAACAAACTTTTAAATTGTATATAATGACAAAAGCACGTTTTTTAAAACTATATTCAATATTTATGATTTAAAAACTATATTTGAACAAGTTCTTCAAGCAAGAAACTAACTTTAAGTTTCCCGCCAATTTCATTTGTTTTGATATAATAATAAAGTTCTTAGCAAAATGGCGGAAAACAAGGTTTTTATAAAATCATCAACATTTGTTTTTCTTTAATAACTTCCAATACCGCAGGAGACCGCAGTTATCCTTTTACATTCCTAAAGTAGAAATATTAATTAACTGGAATATATATATATATATATATATATATATATATATATATATATATATATATATATATATATATATATATATATATATATATATATATATATATATATATATATATATATATATATATATATATATATATATATATATATATATATATATATATATATATACAGTGGCGGAACTACTGGACGCAGGACCCTGCGTTGCGGGGGGGCCTACCAGCTATAGGGGGCCCTCATATAAAAAAAGTTATACTCTCAATAATATTTATACTATAAAACTCTTTTCCGCAAAAAAAACATTCTTTTGCGGGGGGCCCAAATTTTGAAGTTCCGCCACTGTATATATATATATATATATATATATATATATATATATTTGGGGAACTCGGTGGAACGTTTTCTTAGCTGATATATAAACAAAAAAAAATACAATTATTTTCTACTTTTTTTTAGAGGTCTTTAAATTTAGACTAAAAAATCAGACTTTTTTTTTTACTTTTTAGTATATTTGAAATATATAGAGTCAAAATATTATTTTAAAAATAAATTTACACTTTTATTTAAATTTCAAGTTCTCAAATTTAGTTGAATAAAAACCTCACATTTTTCAGATTTCTTTAAAAACAATATCAAATTTTTTCACTTCTTTTACCTATAAAATACAAAACAAAAGCTTTATGAAAAAATTATTTTTACTTTTAAAATAAAAAATCATTGTCTTTTAATATTATCTAACAAAGGGCACTTAATTTATAATAAAGTGGTGAGGGGTTTATTGCCATTTTGTTGTTGTTTTGAGTCACTGTGCGCTGTTGGCAGCCAGTTGATAGTGAAATAGCACTTCCAAAACCTTGTACAGTTTAAGATGCTAGGGAAAATCTTCAGACAGTTATTGGTTAAGTTTCCCGTGTAGCAGAAGATTTAGCTTCTGACGTGATCAAATTGAGATTTGCAGCATCTGGAGATGGACGCTCAATTGCTATTTTTAAGTGTACTTGTCTGCAAAGGAAATTAGTAGCTTGCAGTCTAATTTAGGTCTTTCTTTGAAATAAATTCAAAAAGTAAGTGCTTTTTCCAGAGCTTGGAGTGATTGCAAATCAATTGACTCAGGTTTGGTTGAAAAATTAAGTCAACAATACAAAGCATTTGATTTATTCTACAATTCTACAATAATGAACTTTGATGTTTCCAATGGTGATGAACTAAGTGAAAAAACTCAGTACTCAACCATTTTTTGTAATGACATCTTTGGTTTGGTTGAACACACCTTTGATCATCAAGACCTTTTACCAGATGATTCTATGATCAAAGTAGGCATTGACCGAGTGGTGGGTTTCTATGAATGTATTTGATAGCCAAAAAGAACAAAAAAAGTATAAGCTTTTCTATTTAAAAGGTGCATATTCTCAAGCTTTTTGTAACTCAGGAGTAAAGAAAATTATGATGTTGGCAATTGTTTAGTCTGTGAAAAAATTTTATAGGAACTTGAAGCATATTTTAAAGTTTCTTTTACTTGAAAATGTTGCTCTTACTGCAGCTGTGGAGATACTTTCAGCATTTAAAACATTTGATGCAATTAGACCGACATGCTTTTTTTTGAGAGAGCACACAAAGTCCTTGGAATTTCAATTAGACCTAAAATTCATGCTGACATCAAGCATGCACCAGACTTTATTGACAATTAGGCTGAAAAACATTATATTAACCAGCAAAGACTTACTCCAACTCTATTTAAAATGTTTTCAAGAGGTTTTAGGTTTTTTTTCTTTAGGTCTTACGTTTTAAAGTGAGCAAGCATTCGAATCAGTTCATTCAGTATATCAGCAGGGTGTTCATAGTAAGCTTGTAATTTAAATAGTCGGTATATAAACTAAACTTCCATAACAAATTGCATCGTCAAAAGTTAGAAGATAAGAGACTGAATAAAAATGACAAAACCTCCAAAAAAGAAAACATATGAAGCAGAAGCTTTTTAATTTTAAATAAAGTCTAATATATAATGTAACGTATATTTGTAGATTTTTTATCATTTAGTTTCAATTTTCATGCGTTTTTTCCAGTTTGAGGTTTTTTAGTATGCTGGCCTAAGCTTGAGCGTTTTATCTAAAATGCTTTGAGTTTTAACATTTAATCTGAAATTTTTAACAAATATTTCTTAACAAGAGCTGTGTTTTAGTGGAACACACTTTTTTACCACTTAGGTACAAAACTGTAATACTAATTTAATTTTTCTAATAATGCATTTTTTTCTGTTGATACATGTCAATTTAAAGACCAAGAACTTTTATAAACAAATCTGTTCCATTTAAAACACACATAGACCTATTTTAAAAATGTTTCCAAAGTTTCATTTAGGCTTTTTTTATTGGCAAAAACTTAACCAGCAGACTCTTATTTTCTGCCTATTTTGAGGGGTTATTTACTGATACTGCGGCAACCGTTGACCAAAAAGTATATATTTTAAAAAAAATTATACTTTTTAATATGGCTAATCATTTTATGTAAAAAGTTGTTATTTCTTGTCTATATTTAAATATGGAGGTGTATAATTTAAAAAAAAACTTTGCTAAATCAAAATTAATTGCGAGAAGGGAAAAAGTAAGGAAAAAAAAAACCAAACTGAGAAACAAAAATGCTTAAAAACAAAATTATCTTTCACCAAACAATATTTATGTTTTACAACAAAAAAATAACTGATATTTAAAATAATAAAAACAACAGCTTAAAAAAATGCTGCTTCAAATAAATGTTATTTGCAGAAGTCTGATTTTCTAATTCAAGAAAATTGTAAAAGGAAGTATGAAATTGTAATGATTTTTAATAAACATCGAAAAATTCTTCTCCACTAAGTTTAAATAAAAAAATAAAACAAAAGTTTATTTAACTAGTTTAAAATTATAAAGTTTATAGAAAAGACTAACTTATATCATAAAATATATAATCTTTTTAAAAAACAAATGAAAAATGTACAATTTATTTTTATAAAAAAAACTCTGCGGTGTAGACTTCAAAGGTGTCTTCCCCCTAAAGAAAAAATTGCTTTTTAATGTCATCTAAATTCATATAACAGTAATAAACCTTCGACTTTATCTTCAGGAAAACGTAAAGTCTAAATTTTTAAAAACTGATAAAACTTGAGACTTTTACATTTTCTTTAATGCGGTCCCCCTAATTTTAGATTTTGCATCCCATTTTTCTTTGAGTTTTGAAAAACTAGTATTAAGGCTAGTTGTAAATTAGGCAACCTGGCTGGTTTGTTACAGACTGTTCAAAAAACTCTTTTTCACAGTGAGAATTAATAATTGATAAAATTAACTTTGTATTTATTATTTATTATTATTTATTTTTGTATTTATTATTATTTTATACTTTTTATTATTTAGTATTATTTAACTTTGTATTTATTATTTATTATTTATTATTATTGTATTATTTAGTTTTAACTGCTTATTGTAATAACTTAAAACTATTTTTTAAATGGTGAGACTAAAAGCTAAATTTTTCTTAAAAAATCGAGGCTGGTATTTTATATAGTTCAATTTACATTTATTATATGAAATATATGAAAAAGTATTATAAAAAATGTATTGTATAAAACGTTGTTTTTTTTTTTGGTGACACTAATGAACAAAGCGATTTGTTAATTCATTTGTTCATCATATAAGCTAATAATCAAAGTATAAACTGAAATTAGTCGATAAAAAATAAAAACACAAAAAGAAGTGTATGAAGAGAAAGTAAATTGTATACGAAACGTATATAAAAGAAATAAAGTTTACTAATCTATGGAGGCTTTTGCTAGGAAGAAGCCTCCATAGATTAGATCAAAAAAATTTTAATTTTATTTTAAAGTAAAAAGATTTAGAAAGAAGTATGTATATTGCAAAGTAGCTGCATCAATCAAAAAACATGTAGAGACCTGAATCTGAATCTGAAAAATAGATTATTCAGATAATAAAAGAGAGATTAAGTTGTTCTATTTTATCTAAGATTATGATAAACATAAGTGCTGTTATCTGGTTGGCGGTATTGCTTTGGTTTCCGTTTAATACAGAGCAGGTATACACTTACAAACTTAATAAGTAGCTGCATTCTACATTAAAGCTGGCGTGAATTAAGAAAATAATTCGTCAACTCGGAATACAATTGTCATATTCGATATATTTGAAAAAAATGCGAATTTTCTAATTTTTGGGAACTTATTATTCGTTCGACATCTATTTGTTGTACTAAGCGTAGACCAATATTAGCGTTCTATTTGCTCACGTGACTTTAGATTTAAAAACGTAAATTCTCTTGTTTACTTTTTAACACGTTTTAAGTTAATAAAAAGTAATACATTCATTTTTTTTTTAATATTGAATTGTTTTTTGTTTTCTTTGAATTGAACTGAAATGTTCAGTAAATAAAAATTATTACTCGTAATCAGACGAACTAAACAGTATTTATAAATATATCGTTTTTTTGTTAAAATAAGTAACTAATATGGAATATTTTATAACAAATACGGAGTATTTTATGGCTTCTGATGCTGAAAATCCGATACCAATAGTTTTAGAGCCTAACAACCAAATGGATGACGAGACTCCTCGATATGTAGCAGAAGAATCTACTAATTTATCTTTTTTTTCTTGTAACTTTTTTTTCTTGTAATCTTTTTTTTCTTGTAACTTTTCTTGTTATCATTTTTCATAACAATAAAAAGTAAATATAAAATACTTGTGTACAAAGATTTCATTACAATACGTCTTGTGCTCGAATAGTTTTAATGAGATACTTATTTTTACATTCTAAATAAATTCTTGAAGATATCAGTGAAAGAAGAAGTTATTATAATTTGAATAACATGGTAAATAAAATATGTAAGTGGACTACCAAGGTCCCCAAAGAAAGGTAAAATGGTTTGTAAAAAAACTCCTATTCAAGTCTTAAAGAAGATTAGAGAACATATAAATAGCTTTCCAACAGTTGATTCACACTATTGCAGACAGAATACTAACAAAAAATATTTAGAATTGTCATTGAGTACAATTAAAATGTGCATGTTGTTTACACAAGCTTACCCAGAGTTCAATGTATAAAAAGATGTTTATTATTCAACTTTTAATAACAATTTAATTTGGAATTTTATAAACCAAAGAAAGATTTTTGTGATTTATGTCAAAAGTATAAAACAAAGAAGATGATCAAAAAATACTGCAGCATAAAGAGAGTAAGCTATTAAATAGACTAGAAAAAAAGTGAACTAGCTAAAGTTGCAAATAGAGATTACAAAACCACAGCAGTTATAAATTTAATTTAAATATAATTTTCTATAACTTTAGAAAAAGTATTTCCTCTTCCAATTGCTAATATTTCTGCATTCTATTATAAAAGAAATTTAAATTGCTATAATTTCACAGCCCGCTGTTCATTGATTATAAAAACTTATTGTGCACTTTGGAATGAATCTATGGCTGGTAGAGGTACAAATGAAGTTGCAAGTTGTCTGTATAAACTATTAAAGTTAATTGTTCAAGACTGGCCTAATTTATCAATTAATCAAATTATTTTGTTGTCTTATATTTGTGCTCCCCAGAATAAGAACTCAATTCTGTCTATGGCAATAAAAATTTTTCTAAATGAAAGCGAAATACCACTTATTGAACAGAAGTATAGTGAAACTGGTCACAGTTCAGTACAAAAAATTGACACTGCGCATAGTGTTGTTGAGAAAAAAATTGGGTAATATGAGATTTACAATCCTCCTACCTTATACAAATTACTGTTATCTATTAAAAAAACTTCTGCAGTAGAATTGAAAGTAATACAAATGTACAAAGATGACTTCAAAAGCTTCAAACTTGCTTCCAAGTCTTTATATTTTCATAAAGTACCTTTTGCAAAAGTAAAACTAATGTGTTCTATAAACATCTACCTTTTCATATTAAATTCAAAAAATCGTTCTTAGGTCTGTTAATTGAAGAAAGATTGGTAAAAAGTTGGTGAAAGGTACCTCGTAGTGAAAGAATAAAAAGAAAGTTAAAGTTCTAAAAAAATTTCCTTCATTAAAAAGTTATTTAACACGTTTTTTGCTCTCAGATAAAAAAAATTATTGATCTTAGATGTATGGTAAAATATTTTGTTGGTGATGATCTTGAACTTGATAAAACTCTTTTTAAGTTACAAAGTCTAAACAATTAAATATATTCTTTTGTAAAATGATTTAATTAATATTGTGTATATTTATTTCTTTATTGTAAAAAAAAAAAGGTACAATAATGGAAACGGTTGCTTTTTATATTTAACTTATTTATATCATTTTTCATAGACAAATTAAAGAATATGTGTGATAATTAGTTATTTTATTTTTCAATTATTTTAAAAATATTTAATAAATTATTCCTTTTATTAAATATTTTATAGTAATATATAATTATATCTTGCAAATCTTGTAAAATCTTTTTTATCTTACATAAATTAGTAAGAATTTATTAGTACCTTAAAAAGTTTTGTCAGAAATATTTCATTGAATAACTTGTTAAGATCTTATTAAGATCTTCTTAAGGTCTTGTTAAGAAATAAATGAGAAAAAAAACTACAAATTTTATAAAGACCTTAAAAAATCTTGCTAAGATCTTATCCATTAAGTTGCTCTGACGTCATGTTGAATGAGGTGACATTGCAAAAAATATGAGAAAATCCTTAAAGAATTTTTGATAATTTGAATTGTTATAAGTAAATCATTATATAAAAGTGCCAAAAAATGATATAATTATTATTCTCATTAAAAAATATGGCGCATTATTACGGCATAGTTTCTTTTTTTTTTTTTTTTTTTTAACTAACTAAAAATTGATTTGCAATATGCTGTTGTTAAGTTAAGGGTATGCGAGAAAGTGACGAGGGTTATCTGTATGAGAGCTAGAAAGATTGTATCACGTAAGCAAGCGGTTACAAAAGTGTTAAGAAAGATTGTATCACGTGAAGAAGTGGTTATAAAAGAGTTAAGAGATGACACAAACAATTTAATATAAAAGAACCAAGAAGTTGTAAAGAATTGATAATAAAAATGCTAAAAACCTGTTGTGTTTGAAATTGTTCAAACAACAACATAATGTAAAGTTACGTAAAAGATTTATCTTAACTACTTCTTTATTTTTTTTTTTGACTTGAAATATTTGAATTCTATGCAATTTTTTGCGTAAATGAACCGCCAAACTGTATATAAAATAAAGATAACTTGTATACGAATTTTTCGTTTATTTTTTATTATTGCTCAATTTCGACATGCTTATAAACGTACATACAATATAAACATACAATGATAGTAAAAAATATTTTAGTTGACAAAATATATGAGGAAATGTTATATATTTTTTATACATTTGTTTTTGTAGTGCGCAAAAAGCATGTTTTTCCCGATAAACAAAAACGAAATCAAATGTAACAAATTTTAAAGTAATATGTATGTAGTTTAAAAAAATCCTTTAAAAATGTTTTTTGTATTACATATTTTTTTAATATTGAAATCATTTGTTATTTATAATTTGAGTTTATTTGTTTTATTATTGAGAATTATTGAGCTAAATTTTTGAATTTTATCAAATATATTAAATATATTAACCTATCATTTTAAATTCATGTCATAATTTGATATTTTAATATATGTAATAATATGATTGACATTTATATTTACATTTACATACATATATATATATTTATATATATATATATATATATATGTTTTATTATTGAGAATTATATATATTTAACATAATACATGATATTAAATTATGTTTTTAATTAAATATAGGTAAAATAAATGTAAAATATGTTAAAGCAAATGATGTAATATGTAAAAGCAAATGGTGACAAGCAGCTGCAACAAGCCAATAATAATTTAGAGGCATAAATTGGACAACACCAACAGTTCTCCTGAAACTGTTTACTATGGAATCTGAAGTAAGATAAGATACTTCAAGTTTTGCGCAAATCTAAAAATTTCTGGTGATTTAATAATATTAAAACTAGACTTTTTTTTA